AGCTGTGCCGGGACTGGTGTCTGACGCCTCACGCCTCCGCCATGACACTGTAATGGTGAATGCCTATGTCCTGTGTTTGCTGACCGTGCCCCCTGTGTGCGGCAGGGCTCCGACCAGGCAGTCACTGGTGTACATGACCCCTTCATGCCTCCACTCCACCATCCGTCCGGTGTCAGCTGAACGTGCCTCCTGTGTGTAGCTGACCCTTGCCCCCTGTGTGCGCGGCAGGGCTCCGACCAGCTGACCGTGTCCCCTCCGTGTGCTCCTAGGGCTCCGACCAGCTGACCGTGCCCTATATGTCTGCTGACCGTGTCCCCTCCGTGTGCTCCTAGGGCTCCGACCAGCTGACCGTGCCCTGTATGTCTGCTGACCGTGTCCCCTCCGTGTGCTCCCAGGGCCCCGACTAGCTGACCGTACCCTATATTTCTGCTGACCGATACCCTCGCTCTGTGCTCCCAGGGCTCCGACCAGCTGACCGTCTCCTGGAAGGTGGCCGACGACGTGATACAGCACATTGCTGTCAAAGAGGTCGGCAAGGAGAACGCCTTCAGTCTCGGCCAGACGCTGCTCATCGGTAAGTGACGTGGGTACTGTACATTAGTCCCCCTAATTCAGCCCGGGTCAGACTCTGCCCTCCCTTCAGCCGGGGGCAGACTCTGTCCTTTGAGCCCGGCTCATACAGGCTGCCCTTCCCTTTCTTCAGCCTCGGCCAGACACTGCTCATCGATGAGTGCTATATCCTCCCCTGTTAGCCTGAGACAGACTCTGTCCTCCTTCCAGTCTGGATCAGACCCTGTTCTCGTCTCAGCCCGGGTCAGTCAGACTGTCCATTCTTCAGCCCGACTGAGACGCTGTCCTTCCAGCATAGCCCGCGCCCCGTTGGGCTATTCAGCCATACGCGCCCTGCTGGGGGGGGGCGGCAGATTCTGCCCCCCCCCTGTCTAACTTCCGAACCGATGGTCGTAGAAAGACGGGGAGAACGGCAATTGAAAGCTCTCAACAAGGCAGATCTTAAGAGCCATTTTTTGCTTAAGCAGGTCAGAGGTCAGGTCAAGGTCAGGTCAAGGGTACAAAGTGCAAGTTTCTACAGTATCGGCCTTGCACCGTAGTTGCCGAAGAATGGACTGAGACTGATTGCCCAAAACGTGTTCTTAGGCTACCAAGACAATATTCGTTGCATACAATATCATGCAAAGGTCAAGGTCAAGGTCAGGTCAGGTCATAAAAAACGAAATATAGAAAAGGACATGTGCGACACATGTTTTATGGGTCATTTTATTCATATAATTCAATAGGCACACTCAATAAGTGATATGGACCACGTCTGGATGAATTTCAGGTCGAGGTCAGGTCAAGTGAGATCAAATTTTGAAGTTGGTTGTTAAGACCTAAAAAGGTGTCTATCTGATGCAGTTTTTCACGGCGAGTCGAATGGTGCTATTTTTGTTCCCGTACGAGGTCTAGAACCAAAAAATGCATTTTTAAAAAAAAATGTGTGTCGTAATGTCATAGAATTTTGAATAACTCCCACATTTTTGAACCGATTCTTCTAAAAATTGGTATGTATGTGCACATAGACCACTCTGACATATATTCCGGTTTTTTGATAAACTAAAAATTTTGGATTTTATAAAATCAGTTTTCCCCCAAAATTAGTTTTTTGAAGAAAAAAAGCAGGCCCAGATCCAAAATTTTCAAAAAAAAAAACGAGATAGCCGTTTGATAGACAAAGTAGAATCACGTATAACCTTTTTTGTTACGTCTTGATTCCTTTCAAAATGAAGATGTTGGCGGCGTTTGAAATTTTGCCGTTTTTGAGGCGAAAATGGCAGACATGACGTCACTTAAACGTCATTTTCTTAAAAATTTCCGACGGATTTCGCTCCAATTTTCAGGAAACGTTAAATGGATGTATGATAAGGCACTGAAAGTTTGGCGCTGCTAGCGTAACGCGTTTAGAAGTTATTGGCGAAAAACGGGAAGGGGGGGGGGGGCAGATTCTGCCCCACCCCCAGCGGGGCGCGGGATAGCTCATACTCTGTCCTCCCTCCAGCCCGGACCAGGCTTTCCTTGGTTCAGTTTGGCTTGGATTCTGCACTCCTAAGCCAAGCTGAGTGTAGAATCTAACAAGAGCCTGTGTCGGCTGACTGAGTCGGGCTTGGACTCTGTTCAGTCTGTTCTCCCTCCAGCTCGAGTCAGACGCTGCTAATCGCTGAGGGACGACGGCGAGCACTCCTGCCCGACATGGGAGTCTGCCCTGTGGTCCTTAATCAGTGTGACGTGTCGGTCCGGCCTGTGCTCCTTCAGTCCGACGTGTGGTCACCGTCGATCGTTGTCGATGTCTCGTCACCGGTGTAATCGCTGTGGCCGGCGCCTCACACCCCCGGTGTCTGCCGCTCCGACAGACAATGAGGAGTTCGAGGACCTGGACGAGATCCTGGCCCGCCACGTCAGTCCCATCTCGGCGCACGCGCGCGACCTGCTCAACTACAAGTACTACCGGGACACGGACGGCGGCAAACGGCCGCGCGCCGACGAGATTCTCCGCGAGGAGAAACGGAAAAACCCGCAGAAAATACCCTACATCGTCTCCGTGTCAAAGGTAAATTGCTCAACTCGATGGCTGTCGCTGTATTTAGCGAGGTATGATCAGTTAAATGCTTATTCCAGGATCTAAGGCCCATGCAATAGGTTCCTATGTCGTAAGTTAACATGGCGACAGACGACCACGCACTGAGGACACACACTGAGCGCGCTCCAGGACGTCTAGCCAGTCTGTCTCGGTCGTCTCGTCTGTCCGCTGACGTCCCGCCGCCCGCTGCGGTCGGCCGTCGGACGCCGAGCTGACCCCTCCCTCCCTTCTCCGCCCACAGGAGCACCCGGGCAAGTTCATGCTGTCGTACCTGCCGCGCACTCGGCCGCGGCACGAGTTCATCACGCTGACGCCGGAGGGGTTCCGGTTCCGGCAGCAGGTGTTCGAGACGATCCCGTCGCTGTTCCGGTGGTTCAAGGACCACTTCCGGGACCCGGTGCCGCAGACGCCGCGCGCCGCCGCCGCCCGGACACCGTTCACTCCCGGCGCCGGCTTCAACATCAACAGTGAGCCAGGGCGAGAGTCCGGGCCGGACGGGGGTACCGTGGGGGACCAAGGACGCTGGGGCCCGTCCCTGGGGAAGTGCGCATCACCTGCCTCGCGAAGTCTTTCTGTAGTATTATTATCGTTATTTGGCTCTCTAAAGCCAGTCGCCGGTCGGGGATGTGTCCATATAAATGTCCGCACGTCTCTGAGCCCCCCCCCCCCCTTCCTGGCAGATGTGAACCCAGAGGCGGTGGCGCGCGTGGCGCAGAATCTCTCCGGCAATGTGCTGCACAACCTGTCGCAGGCGGCCGCGCACCAGACGCCCGGGCACTACCCCAACACGGTCAGTGAGGGGGCCGATACGGCCCCGCCCCGACTGTGCTGGTCGGTCGGCCGGCCTCCGACTGTGTGAGGATGTGTGTGATTGGTTAAAGGCCCGCCGACCCGCGCTGAACAAGTCCAGCTCTCACAGTATCCCCTCACTGACGGTCGCCCGCGCCGGTTCTGTTGCAGCCCTACACGCCGTCCGGCCAGACCCCGTTCATGACGCCGTACGCCACCACGCCGCGGTACCAGGGCGGCGGCAGCAGCGGCCACCACGGGCGCACGCCCGGCGGCGGCGGCGGCGGGCCGCACGCGTCGCCGCGCTACCCGCCGGCCGGCCGGCCGACCACCTCCGGCGGGCGTCACTCGCACCCGGCGCCGTCCGTCAGCCACGAGTCGCACGACTGGGCGTCGGCCGCCGAGGCCTGGGCCAAGGCGCGCGGCAACCGCGGCACGCCGCGCGCCGACCCCGGCGGCACGCCCCGCGCCGACCCCGGCCGCAGCACACCCCGACACGACGGCCGGAGCACGCCCCGACACGACGGGCGGAGCACGCCGCGGACCGACGGGCGCGGCACGCCGCGGATGGACGGCCGCGGCACCCCGAGGGCCGACGGGCGGAGCACGCCGCGGACAGACGGACGCTTCACACCGCGGGGGGACGGCAGCCGCACTCCGCGAGACAATATGCCGCCGTGAGTAGAGCAGTAAAGGGCCGGGTACCGTCACCGGTCGGGGCGGCCGCCGCTGTCAGCGGGCTCGCTTAGACTGCGATGGTAGACCCACGTTGAGTTTGTCCAGTGACAAGTCTGTGGTGCTGTGTTGTAATGAGGAGCGTGTAATTTACAGTCGGGGTCTGACCTGGTGAACTGGCACAGATGCGTATTGGGTAGCTGTACCTAGTCGCTACAGGCTGCCGCGGGCTCTCACGGTGTACTGATACCGACTCAAGCGGTGTGTTTTGACCCCGGCCCGTCTTACGCCCCTTGTGCCGACCCCTATCCAGCATCCAAGGTGTGATCCCGCACAAATCCAATTATGACCCGCCTCCCGGCAGTGTGCCGACCCCCGCCCCGTCTCGTTAGTGTGTACTGACCCCGTCTCGACGGACTGCGCTAACCCCCTGTCCCCGTTTCAGGCCCTCGACACCGTCTTCCCGCGCGAGACGGACGCCGCGGGCCGGCGAGACGCCTCTGTACGACGAGTGATGGGCCGCCGCGCCGCGGTGGCGGGACTATTCTGTGAGCGAGCTGGGGTCGCACCGACCCATTCCTCGGCGCGCGGCCGCCGCGCGCCGGCCCGGCCGACCGGGCGCCGGCGGCCGCCGTCCGGCTGTGTGCGCGCGCCACTGGGGCCGCCGCGCCCTCCTGTATCGCACCGAGCCAAATACACGGACACGACGCGGCCCGCGGCGCCTGTCACTGATGACGGACAGGGAGACCACGCCCAGGCGGATCAACTCCTACACCGCGGCGGGCACCGCTCCACTCCCCAGTGAGACAAACGCGCTGAGACAACCCCAGTGAGACAAACAACTGAGCGTGGACGTATGAGCCCGCTGTGGACGGGCGCTAAGACCCCAACAAAGACAACAGAACAGTCTATGCATACGGTATATTTAGCAAAAATAGAAACACGTCTTAGACGCATAGCATATCTCACGGCTCCGTATTCTCCGAGTGGCTGAGTCATATCAATCGCATAATATCAGTGCGCATGAGGACAACCAAGTAAATGGGGTTCGTCGCCTCAGTTGGAATAGTGCACTGCTGTGATAACCCCAGAACGGGACTTCAATTTAACAATAGCTAGGCGCGTACACACGTCCACATGTGCATCTAAGCGGACTGACGCATAGTATGCATCAGTGCAGTCACAAAATGTCTAGCCTCGCTGCTCAATGTGGTAACCGTAATACTGTGACTACAGAGACAATCGGACCGGCACAGCCTGAGTAAGGGAGCCAGCTAGGTTAGAAACGGGCAAGGCCTGGCGCTATTCAGTCGGCAGTTCACAGGTGCAGCGGATACACTGAGTACACAGAGCCGTAATCGCCACGCCATATGTGGAAGGCTTTTGGTGTCAATACATACATACATACATACATACACAGACCGGCACTGCGGCTACGCATCAACAGTCAACATCCTTCGTCTAAAACGCTATTTAATAACATTGTATTAAACATCCGGACCATGCCCGACTTTGACGGGCAAACAAGGTACCCTAAATCCTCCCGATCACCCGGAATGGCCCGATCGTACGATACGGTCCGGAGACCACAAGCTATGCTTCACGTGGGCTCCGCCGCTGTCAATCCGTGCATTCAAGCATTCGAGCTAAATTTATTTTTAAAATATCACTTATGTCTTACATATTCCGGCCAGTGCCGTATCCCGCTAATCCATAACCATTGTTTGTATAGTCTAGTTCTACCAATACCTCTGTGACACCATGAGTGGTCTGATGATCGGCTGGGGCGGCGAACGACCCCAGCGGGACGCCGGGCGGGCGGCCAGCACCGACCCCGCGTATTGGATACATGCACCCCGGTACGAGCGGGTATCACCAGGCTGGTTATCACGGACGGTCCCCGGGCCGGGCTGCAGCGCTCTGCGACCCGCGGCACCGGGCGGCGGTGAGGCGGTCACCGGCGGCAGCTCCGGGAGATCAGGAGTCCTGTGAGCCGAGCGGAGACGCCTCTGGAGGTCACAGACACCAGCCGTCACCACCGGCAGCAAAAACAGCCCGATACCGGCACAGCTCCACAAACTGACACACATTGCAGGGACAGCCGGCTAAACAAGCGGCGGACGCGGTAAAAACCGGCGGGGCGGGACGGCGGCTCACCGGACAGGCTGCGGTAGGCGGCCGGGCCGCCGAGCAGCCGGCGGCGCAGAGACACTGACAGCGCCAACAGCGTCACCGACCACTTGACGTTCATCAGGCTCATGACGGCGCGCACCGGGTTACTGGTCTCGATCGGATAGAAACCTGCCGGCCGGAACGGACGCAGGTCAGCCGCAGCAGCGGACGGCGGCTACAATGCGACATAATCACTCCAATACTTGTAAAATGAAAGTTGATCACTCGTAAATATCGACTGGAATAATATCAGTTGCCCGCTCCTATAGCCCCCTGAGAGCTATCCTATACTCTCCTGAGCAGCTAGCGGTTAGATCTAAGCTCGATCTGTTTATGTTTTGGGGTTCACTATTCGCTCGTGCCCGTGACGGCCTTTTGACAGTGGCAGTAACTGCAGTACGGTTCGGAGCTCGTCGGATTTCGGAAAGCAGTGCGGTATAAGTGGTCCGTCCATTCAATTCTTATTTCTGCGGTGTTACCAGCACTTCTGGCTGGCTATTTAACTCTAATTGCTGTTGAGTAGCTGAAAGCTCTGTGACTTATGTCTGCTATGTACCTTGCATCTCGAAATTGAGCAACAGATGAGTGCAAAAACATTAACAACAAAAAATCATTCGAAATTCTGGTTGATTTTTTAAAAGATACAAACCAAAACTTGAACTAAAGCAAAGAACCAAATGAATAACACAAGGTCCAGCCACTCTTTTGTGTGCCAGCCGGCGAGTGTGTGCCAGGTGGCGAGTGAGCTCCAGCCGGCGAGTGTGCGCCAGCTGGCAGGTGTCCACCAACCGGCGAGTGTGTGCCAACCGCCGAGTGAGCTCCAGCCGGCGAGTGTGCGCCAGCTGGCGAGTGTGCGCCAGCCGGCGAGTGTGCGCCAGCCGGCGAGTGTGCGCCAGCCGGCGAGTGAGCGCCAAGTGAGCCAACCGGCGAGTGTGTGCCAGCCCCCGAGTGTCCAACCGGCGAGTGTGCGCCAGGTGGCGAGTCTGACCTTGGTGTTTGGTGACGACCTCTGTCAGGTACCACGCCATCAGACCCAGCGCTGCCACCAGGATCACCACGGCAAACACCGTGATGCGGCGCAGAATCGCTGGTGTGTACCACACCCCCAGCAGACTGTAGTGGTCGAGCATGAGCAGGTGCAGGCACAGCGTGGCCAACAGAGCTGAAACAAGGGATGACCATCACGGGTGAAGCACAGAAAGACTGACAGGATTAACCCTCGCCCGTATTGGGGTTTTGCCCGCGTCGCATGGGGGGGAGGGGCCATTGGATCCCCAGCTTGCTATTCGGCCCCTGATCGACCTGGATCTTCGCGAAAAAAACGAGCGTATTGCCTGGGATGAGAGGAAGCTGATGGTACCTGATGGTAAGGTCATTGGTTGACCTTCCAGGTCAGGTCAATGACCCAAAAGTGTGGAAAATTGGAACCTGGTAGAACTTCATAAAAAAGGTTGTAAAAGAACATTTTGGAGCGCTCATCACAAATTTCATGTTAGTTTTCATTACAAAAGATGTCTTCATGCATTTAGGCCATGTAGGGTCAGATCAGGTGAGGCATCCTGCCAGCTATCCATAGTGATAGTAGGTGTCAACCACCACTGATGGCCTTGTAACATGTTATGAAGGCACCAAAACTACTTTGTAATTGTTGAAATGGGTGCTGTTTTCAAAATCAGCTTCAAAAACTACCCTAGTCACATGTAACTCGAAAAAGTGAGCCAAGGTCACCACAGGTCAATGATCAGTTAATGATCTTGACCTAATCTTCACACATGACCTTAACACCCACCAGAATGCATGGGACCAGCATCATTACATATGTCTGAATGCCAGCAACTGCAAATAAACAACAACAACAACTGGAAACGTGCTAACAGTGTGAGCTGACATACACCAAATCACGATTCAGGCCAATCATGGTCCCAAGAAACAGGTCACAGGTCGAGGGTCATTTAGGTCAGGGCCATGCAATTTTCAGGTAGGTGTAAAATTGATCAACTTGACGGGACTGAAAGTTTTGTGTGGATTGGCCGCTTTTGACACAAAGTATTCATGAAAAACCGAAGGGGTAAAGTGCCACTATTATCATACCTTTCTTAGATGCTTCTGTACTTCAACTAACTTAGACTGAAATTACCACAACACCACATTGTCTACAAAAATTTACCCATACGACTGTTCATGCGACGTCTGCCCTTCTGTTACCAAATTTACTAGACTGAGTGATCACGTGCATTTACTCTGCAGAAAAATGAACACAATTTGTACATTTACAGCAAACTTACCAGAAAACAATGCCAAGAACCCAGCCTGATAGTTACTGAAAGTAAATATAAAAACAAGGCATCCTGCTATTCCGGCAAAAAGACCACTGCCACATGAAATAAAATACAGCCATGTTTTGCAAGTGGAACGATCAGTTTCTGCCATCTTCTTGGGCTCGTCCCTTTCTTATGCTGCAAGTATTTTCTGAAAATCTTCAAAAGTTGTTGTTGCTGGGTTATGACGCGTAGTATAGGGACCCAGGGGCGATACTTCAGTTTTTTACATTGAGGTAGCACAAATTTGATGATGCTTCACTGTTTCTCCTTGGTCAATTACATAAAAAACAGCTTCAAAACACTTTGATTCGCAACATTTACCGAAATATAATACAGAAACCACCCTGTCGTCAGCACGCTACGTCAACTGCCAGGACGCAAAATGGCGACGCTGTTTTGCCTCTGATGCGCCAGATATGTAACCTGAAATAATTGGATACGACTACTAAATACAATATGCCGATAATAGAATATTTTCCTCCTAGGGGACACTGGGAAATCGAGGTTTTCGGGTGAAGGTGATTGAGAAACGTGTTTGCTAGCGACGCGAACCAATGATGTGGCCTTGGCCACAAATAGGGGATATCTTAGGTAAGGGTAAATGGAAAAATGTTAGGTTAAAGAGTTCTGGAATTGTCTCCAGGCCGGCCGAAGGCCGGCCTGGAGCCTATTCCAGAACTCTTTAACCTAACATTTTTCCATTTACCCTTACCTAAGATATACTCCTTTTCGTCCCTAGCGCACAAACCCCTGGAAACGTGGTAGGTTAGGTTAGGTTAGGTTAGGTTAGGTTAGGTTAGGTTAGGTTAGGTTAGGTTAGGTTAGGTTAGGTTAGGTTAGGTTAGGTTAGATTTGGTTTGAATCTAAAACCCCCCTCCCCCACCCAAAAACCCCGATTTCCCAGTGTCCCCTAGGATGAAAATAGTTCTTGTTTCAGGATATTGTATTTAGTAGTCGCATCCAATTCTTTTAAATTACATATCTGGCGCATCAGAGGCAAAACAATGTCGCCATTTTGCGTCTCTGCAGTGTGTGCGTAGCGCATCGAAGGTGGGGTGATTTCTTTATTATATTTCGGTAAGTGGTGCGAAGTTAAGTGTTTTGAAACTGTTTTTGCTGTAATTGGCCATCGAGAAGGAGAAATGATCATCAAAATTGTGTTTCTTTAATGTAAAAAACTGAAGTTTTACCGACCCAGGCGTCCAACAAATTCTTCCAGAGCCTTTGTTACATTTATTTCTATGTTCCAGGGGGTCTTATTTCCAAGGCCATAGGCAATAAGCATAAAACAGCCACAGAGATAAAGCTGTTCATTGTCATTTGATGCCCCTAGCTACCAACTGCTGCGAGATCGGTTTTAACACTATGACGTCATTTTCCATCCAAACCACGAATTGAGGCAGAATATAGCGAAGATATGACGTTATTCAAGCGTAAGCTTTGTCGGATTTGATTGGTTAACACTGTCAGCAGAAGCAGTCAGCAGGAAAAAAGAAAAACTGAACAGTCTTCAGTTGTTGTAGTCTTGCCGACAGTTCTGGCGAACTTGCTACGAGTTGAAGGTTGAGACTTGAGACCACTAAATAGACTGTGCCATCACGACATTGGGAATGGACGATGCGACAGTGGGTGATGCGTGGGGTGGTGGAGCCGTATCATATCGCTTATCATGTAGGTTTAGGTACAGATGAATTAGTATGCACTTTGCCCCTAAAAATACATGATGATATACATTGGGGTACACGAAGACAACAGGTCTTTGTTTCGCCTTATTCAGTTTGAATTCTGATAAAAATCGATTTGTAAGCAAACGTTATTCGTTAAAGGTGCCGATTGCGTGGCGTACCTAAATTAAGTAAACAAACAGTAATTAGATAAGTGCTTATTTTCCAATAAAAGGCTAGAAATACTAAAAGCGTATCAAATAAAAGACATTTTTGCATGCTAGTACCTAGGTATAATATGCTACCTATTTTTACTGGTTATATGGCTATTGGCTATACAGTTATAAACAATTATTTTTTTTTCTCTCTCTCTCTCTCACTCTCTCTCTCTCTCTCTCTCTCTTTCTCTCTCTCTCTCTCTCTCTCTCTCTCTCTCTCTCTCTCTCTCTCTCTCTCTCTCTCTCTCTCTCTCTCTCTCTCTCTCTCTCTCTCTCTCTCTCTCTCTCTCTCTCTCTCTCTCTCTCTCTCTCTCGACACACACAGATGCAGGGATGCACGCGGCTAGGGCGGGCGGTCCCGGGTCGGGTGGGGTGATAGCCGGCCGGCCGGATCACCTTGGCCAGCCGGTGAGAGGCGCTGCTCTGGTCTCTGCACGGACCTGGACGGCCGTGGAGGGGGCCGCCGGTCAGCGCCGACACACCGTGTGTACAGGAAGACGGCAGGCCGTGTATACGGAATGACGGCGCCGACACACCGTGTATACGGGAAGACGGCGCCGACACACCGTGTAAACGGGCAGACGGCGCCGAGACACCGTGTATACGAGCATCGTCCAAGGGCTCCGCCACGGACTTTTGGTTGGGGGGGACGGTCTGCTCTTCGCCCATCGCCCTAGTGTCTCCTCTAAACCTAGGGTACCCCCAAATCCAGTTTTCTCATCGGATTTAGGCCACTTGTTTTTCGTCATAGCCCTGATACGATGATTTTTTAACTAGATAAATAAAAAATAGAGAAATGGTAGGCCACCTGACCCATGCAATATTACCCAATATTAGATTGTAGTCATTGTACCTTCATCATATTGACACACCAGACAGAAAAAAAAACTTGAAAGACCAGCTTCAATTTTTTAATGGTATCTGGCTCATAGTTTTGCGCTGAATCTGAATCCATTTTTAGCATTTGGCGAAGGTCGGATCAGGTTAGGTGAGATCAACAAGTGCGTGTCCCTCCGGCTAGCCAAAGTAGGTGTCAACCACAGACAGCTTCGTAACATGTTGCATTGGTACCAAAACTACTTCTCAATGTTATATGCTTAATTCGACATCATCTCCAAAAAGTTTCCTAGTAACATGCCTAGCTCGAAAAAGTGAACCAAATTCATCTAACGGTAATGACCTTGACCTGATATTCACGTGACCTTGACACCTACTAGAATGCATGTGTCTAATTCACGTGCAACCTTGACACCTACCAGAATGCATGTGTCTACCGTCATTTCACATGTTGGCTCGGTTTTATGACATAACAAGTCTGGAAACGTACAGATAATGTGCGCTAACATACACCGAATCGGTGGTTCGGCCTGACATGGTCTCCAGAAATAGGCCACAGGCCCAAAAGTCATGGCTCATGGGTTAGGACTTAGGTCATGAAATTTTCAGAGGATGTGCAAAATTCCCGGGAAATACTAATAGTTTCGTCACGATAAACCACTTTTTACGCGAGTCACTTGTGAAAAACTGAGGGGTGGGTCAATCCGACCCACCATAGTCCATATAAGAACGAGGGTTAACCTCTCAAACACTTTAAACAAACAGCTTCTCTCATCCTACAGTTCTGCGATATTCTTATTTGACCGATGGAAGTTTCCTCTTAAAGAACGACAGCGTTTACCCGAAAAAATCTCCGTATTGATTGTTTAATTGATTGAATTTGAGAGATCCTTATTTGATATACCTACTGGATTACCTACTGGATATACCTACTGGATTCATCATCGGACTGGGACGTATGATTGCGAACATTCGTTGCAGTAGACTCACGTTGATATACCTAACGCGAAAATGCCTGTCGATATTGTCTACTAAAAAATTGAAATCCGTGGCCCCAATAACAGAAAAAGACTTAAAGCACAGGGCGACAATATAGGTTGTCGACGACAGGTTGATTAGATTCTCATCACGTTGTTTTCTTCGGAGATTCTTTGCACTTATGTTCTGTATTCGGTGTCAGGAACAAGAGTCGATTTATCTACCAGCGGAGGAGCCGATTATTGGGGGGGACAAAAGATAGTATGTCCCACCCAACATTTTGGTTGGGGGGGACATGTCCCACCCGTCCCCCCCGGTGGCGGAGCCCTTGAGCATCGACACCAACACATCGTGTATACGGGCACCGACACCTACACACCGTCCGTGTATACGGGCACCGACACACAGTGTATTTTTTTTTTATTCAAGCCTCCCTCCAACGGGCACTTGTGGCCCATTTACAGGAGGGCTCCTCCTCCTGCTGGCCCTTGCTCCCCCACCCCCCAGGCTACGGCTGAAGTGGGAGCCTACCCCACACCTGGTGACACAGCCGGGGACGACACCCGCGGAAGGGGCGGAACCGGGAATCGAACCCGAATCCGGCACCGCCCGCACCGCGGGTCGACGCCTTAACCGACTGCGCCACTAGGGTATACGGACATCGACATCGGCACACCGTGTATACGGGAAGACGGCACCGGCACACCATGTAGGTATACGGGCACCGACACCGACACGCCGTAAATACGGGATGACGGCACCGACCCACCGTCCGTGTATACGGGCACCGGCACACAGTGTAGGTATACGGACACCGACACACCGTATAACGGGATGACGGCACCGACACACCGTGTATACGGGCACCGACACCGACACACCGTATATAATACCGGAAGACGGTGCCGACACACACACCGTGTATACAGGCAGACGGCACCGACACACCGTGTATACGGACACCGAGGCACACCGTATCGCTGGACACTGGATTGTGACTCAGTCTCAGATTGTATGGCTGCTCAGTGGCCGGCAGTGGACAGTCGGACACGACTCAGATCCACCGTCCCCAGGCAGTGGACTGACCCAGGCACCACAGCCCCACAGACACCGGAGGAGCACGTCCGGACAGTCGAGGCAGGTCCCGATGGTACCCAAACTGTGGAGCGCGACAGTGTAAAGCGGGTCCGGACAGCAGCCCGAGTGTGGAGGACAGTTCCGGACAGTGGAAGCAGGGACAGTTCCGGATAGTGGAGGGTAGGTCCCGACAGCACCCCGACTGTGAGGCAGGTCCGGACAGCACCCCGACTGTGAGGCAGGTCCGGACAGCACCCCGACTTTGGAGGCCAGGTCCGGAGAGCACACGGTCCCGATGGCCGATAGGTCGCCGCGCCAGGTGGCGGCCGGGGCCGCGTGTCCGCGGTTAGCCGCCGCTGCAGCCCAGTTCCGCGGCGCCGGCCGGGTGCCGCTGGTAACCGCCGCAGTCGGCTGCCGGCCGGCCGGCCTCGGGTGGGCGCCGTCCCCACTGACCGCGGCCCGACCGCCAACGGCCGCTCTGAGCAGCGCTCAGTGACCAGGAAGAGGCTCATCAGTGCCTGTTCAGACGCCCGGGGCTCGGAACAGCTGCCGACCCGGGGCTCGGGACGCGGAACAGCTGCCGACCTGTCACGATGGACAGCCGGGACACTACGCTCACCGATCAACACATCGACCGCATTGAGTTAGCCGTGTTAAGGGGCGGTGTATCCGCTGTCCGTGTGCCTATTACATGCATCTACGTCTCACCGGCAAAACCTCATCAATTCAGCGGCATGATAATTGGACAATGGACATCACCCCCGGGAGCGACTCACAAATATCATTAAAAAACAGTAGAATCTAATCCAATAACTCATAAGCACTTTTCTTATAAGCTCTAGCATTGACAGCGAATTCCCTGGATCCAATACCAAAACAGATAAATGGTTTCAAAAAGGGGGCACTCCGTTCTTCATACTATACCATGCAGATACAGACTCGCAGGCGCCGCTGGGCGCACTACAGGATACCGCCGAACTCTCCAACAGTGACAGGTAGGTGGTCATGGCTCACCTTACGCGGCTTTATCGCCGATGACGACCCCCTCCCCGATCCACGGCCGCCCCGAACGCCTCCGTCGTCCGTTACCCGGGATCCGTTCCCCTCTGCGGCACGCGTTAATGGCGTTATGGCAGCGGCCCATCACCACAGCTCGAGCGGAAGCGAACCCAACGGGTTCGTAAAAACGGCCACAAGTAGCCGTCGAATGTCAACCGCCGTGTCAAGTTGTTTGTTTACAAACTTCAGTGAAGCATATAGGTAAAGAAAAATATCAGGCACCTTCGCCGGAACACAGACATGGTAGGTTATCACTTATAACTCCCATAAAACGGATGAAATGAAATATGAACGGGGGGACAAGAACCGATAACGTATCCCGCCGCCGCGCCATTCGGCTCAGGTGGCGGCCGTCCGCCGCGCCGGCGCAGCGTGTGGTTTCCGAGCGAAAAGACCCGGCAGTACTCTCCCCACCGTCTCCCGACCGCCGCAGAGCGCTGGGAAAATACCGGCAGAGGCGGCGGCCCGCGGCCCGGCTGCAGTCCCACCGTTCCCACCATTAGGCGCCGCTGCGGTCCCGGGTCGGCGCCGGCATTTAGCCGGGGTCAGCCGGAGCAAGGCCAACGGCCGGCCCTCGGTGACCGGCCGGGATCAGAGGTGAGCCCTCGGAGACCGCCGCGGGTCACAGCCGCCCGGTGGCCTCAGTTCTCCGTGGGGAGCCGGGCCGCGGAATGCGACCGAGCCACAAGACAAAGCGGCCGCTCGTTGCCCGTATACATGGGAGTGAGGCGGCCGCTGCAGTGAGCGCCGGCCGCGCTGCGCTGAGCGCCGGCCGCCGGCGGGCCGAACTGGTCGGGCGCGCTCGGCTCGCTCGGGCCGGTGCGGTGCCGTCCAGGCGGCGGCCGCCAGTGCGCGGCACGCGGGCGCCGCGGCCGCCCGGCGCTGAGAAGAGACCGTCACCCAGTGATCCGTCACCGCGCCGCCGGACCGATATGAAGCTGCTGATCGCGTGTGTGCTGGTCGCGGCGGCGGCGGCGGCGTCCGTGGAGGAGCCGGAGCTGCCGCACCACGCGGCGCTGGACTCGGAGGGGCGCGTGCTGCTCTGGTGGCGGCCCACCGCCGACGGTCTGCTGTTCCGACTGCGGGTGGCCGCCGCCGGCTACGTGGCGCTCGGCGTCTCGCCGTCGGGCGGGATGGCCGGCGCCGACATCGTGGCCGCGGCGCCGGCCGCCGACGGCTCGCTGGCCGTCTGGGACCTGCACGCCACCGGCGAGACGCAGCCGCGGCTGGACGCCAGCCAGGACGTGCGCCTGCTCAGCGGCGCCGCCAACGGCACGCACACCGAGCTGCTGTTCGAGCGGCGCGACTCGTGCGACCCGGACGACGTGCCGCTGGCCGCCGACCGGGCCGTCACGCTCATCTGGGCCTTCTCCGAGCAGCCGGTGGCGCCGGGCGCGGCCGGCAGCGGGCCGGCCGGCTGGCTCACCTACCACGGCACGCGGCGCGGCTCGCGGCTCATCAACCTGCACCGGCCGGGCGGCGTGCACTTTGCGCCGGACACGCCCTACCTGGACATCGTGGCACCGCAGGTGCGCCTGCCCGACGACGAGCGCACCATGTACTTCTGCCGCATCACCAAGCTGCCAGAGTTCCCGCGCAAGGTGCACTTTATCGGGTTCGAGGGTCTGATCCAGCCGGGCAGCGAGCCGTTCGTACACCACATCATCGTGTACGAGTGCACGGTGCCCGAGTGGCGGCGCGCCGCCTTCGAGGCGTACGTGTCGGAGCGTCAGGCGGCGCGCTGCTACAGCCCCAACATGCCGGCCGACTGGGGTCGCTGCGGTCACATCCTGGCAGTGTGGGCGGTGGGCGGCAGCGGCGAGCGGCTGCCGGCCGACGTCGGCATCCCGCTGCGCGAGGAGTACGGCGGCGCCACGTACGTCATGGCCGAGATCCACTACGACAACCCGGCCGTGCGACCGGGCGTGGTGGACAGCTCGGGCGTGCGGCTCTACTACACCGAGCACCTGCGGCCCAGTGAGGCCGGCCTGCTCAACGTCGGACACGACATCGCCGTCACGCAGATGGTGCCGCCCGGCCAGACCGACTACGTGGTGAATGGCCTCTGCCACTCGAGCTGCACGCGCCAGTGGCTGCCGGCCGGCGGCGTGCGCGTCTACTCGGTGCTGCTGCACTCACACCTGGCCGGCGCCCAGATGCGGCTCCGGCACGTGGCCGCCAACGGCACGGAGCTGGCGCCCATCGCCGAGGAGACCGCCTACGCGTTCAACTACCAGCAGACCCGCAGCCTGCAGCAGCCCGTGCTGGTGCGGCCCGGCGACCAGCTGCTGGTCGAGTGCGTCTACGACACTCAGCACCGGCGCAACGTGACGTTCGGCGGCCTGAGCGCCGAGAACGAGATGTGCCTGGCGTTCGTCAGCTACTACCCGCGCGTGCCGCTCACCATCTGCTGGAGCTCGCCAGACATGGGCCACACCATGGAGCAGCTGGGCATCCAGGCGGCCAACGCCTACGGCATGGAGCTGCCCGTGCGCCGCGCCGGAGACATGATCCAGCAGGTCATCAACAACCTGGAGAGCTTCGCGCGCGCCGAGTGGGACCGCGAGGGCGCGCCGGCCGGCGGCGAGCCGGATCCGGAGAGCGCGCAGGACGCCACGGCGCGCCACCTGTACGAGGTGGCGCTCCAGGAGCAGCGCATCATGAGCGACCTGCGCGCCGACAACGTCACCGCCCTGGAGGCGCTGGGCGTGCACGGCCTGCCCGAGGCGCTGCAGGACCCCTTCCTCATCCTCAAGGACATCCTGGTGATCGACCCGGTCAACTTTCGGATGAGCACGCTGTTCCAGTACGTGGTGGAGTACCCGTGGGACGCCGAGGGCGTGGCGCGGCTGCAGCGCGCCGCCACACAGTTCTACCGGCCCAAGTGTGTGTCACGGGACGGACAGATCCGCAACACGGAGCGCCAGCGGCTCGAGAACGTGGCGTGGCGCACGCCGCCGGCGCCGGACCGCTGCAGTCAGGGCGCGCAGGACGGACGGGGCGGGGGCACGGCGGTCGAGCCGGCGGGACCCGCCGACCCGCCCTCCGAGCAGGTGACGCGGGGACCGGTGGCACGCGGCAGCGTCCAGGAGCCGGACGACCACTCGGGCGTCAGCCGCGCCGCGGCGCCGCTGACCTGGTGGCTGTGCGCGCTAGTGTGCGCCGCAGCGCTGAGGGCTGACCCGGCTCCACTATAGGCGGCCGCTGCTGGAAGACCCGTCTCGACTGGTACTGAGATACCGGGTTGACTGCTCTCCCGAGCGGGACTGCCAGCGAACGGCGCATCCAGTGAATAGGATGCCCAGCGCCGTCCCAGCATTCAGAGAAATGAAGCCTCTAGCTCCGATGAACGGAGTTTGTGTGGGCCCGTCGCCCCGTTCAGTGTCCTTTGTCACCCTGTCCACTGAACAGAGGGTCTGTCCGACTCCAGTGCGGAGCGGGACGCCGCCTGGAGCCGTCTCCAGTTGTCTGTGATGATATTCGCGCGCTGCGCCCGCGGGCGCCGGTCCGGCTCGATCTCAGAGGTGGGCGTCGGCGCCAGTCTGTCCGGCCCGGCGGACAGAGCACTGTGCCAAAGGAGCCGGCGGCGGCCGGGCGCCGTCCGTGCGGCCTCGGCCGGAGGCGCGGCGCGCCGCGGCGGCCTCGGAGCACGGCACACCGCCGGCCGCCGGCCCTCGCCGCGGAGCCGTGCTTGTTTTTAGTGTCGCCGTGCATGTAATCCTCTTTGGATTTGTTTTAGCGTGTTGTTGCTAACTTGTCAGACGTCAAGGTAAGCCATCAGGCAGCTTATGTGGTAGCGATGCATCAGCTCAGTAATCATTTATCACTTGACCGTCATTACATACTGTGTTGTCCCGTGGTGGGCCTCACGGAAGGCTCAGCGCCGGCTGTACGCCGAGGCCGAAGACAGAGACGAAGATTTACTGTTGGAGGAGACTTCTAAAGTCAATGATAATAACGCTCATAACTTTAGAAATGAATGTTTAGAGTCACGGCATGGTCGCGACCTTTTTGTCGCGATGACGCAGCATATTTAGCATAATCATTTGGGGGCCATCGTGAGGCCCTAAGGTATTAATGGTCAGATTCACTGACTGGTGACTCTTTGTTTCTTTTGTGCAAGTAGGTGTATACAATGTCATGTTGCAATGTTGCATTTTCACATCCAGTTTGCAATCTCCAGCCGGCTTCACGTTACAAGGTGTTTTTTTCTAAGTCCTTACGACAGTGAATCGTGGCACGAACGATGCATGTTTCGCGCCTTCCGCGAACCCTTCCTGCCTGGTGCCTGCTATCTGACGCGATCGCCGTGTTCGGTTTCCATTCTTCCCGGCGCGGTGTCGTTATCGGGCTGTTCCGTGGTGCACGGGCCGCGGTCGGCCAGTACCGGCGAGGCCGCGGTAGGCCAGTAGTCAGGTCCTGGACGCTGAGTCCGCCCCCGGTGCCCGGTGGACGTAGGGTCGGGCGGCTCGCCTCGGCCGCTGGATCCGCCACCGGTGCCCGGTGGATGTCGGGTCGGACGGCTCGCCTCGCTCGGCCGCTGGATCCGCCCCGGCTGATGCAACCCGCCGATTCGGGGAGCGGCGGCGCCGCGCCAGCTCACGGGCGACACGGAGTCGTGGCCGGGCGGGCTGATCGGATCGGCGCCGCCGGGGCCGGGCCGTGTCTCATCGTCCGCGGCCGGTCAGTGTCACATCGTCCACGGTACACACCCGGGGCCGGGCCGTGTCTCACCGTCCCGGGGCCGGGCCGCGTCCCACACCGTGTCCACGGTACACACCCGGGGTCGGGCCGTGTCTCACCGTCCGCGGTACACACCCGGAGCCGGGCCGTGTCTCAACACACCCGCGGCCGCGCCGCGTCTCACAGTGTCCGCGGTAATCGGGGACGGCCCGCCGCGGCAGCGTGACGCCGCCCGGAGCCGCGGTACACGACGGTCGGTCGCAGCCGGAGGTGCGGCCGCTCTCCGCCGTCAGCGGCGCCGGCAAATCGTGCCCACAAATCGGCCGGACGCATCCGGCCCACTTTGGGACTATGTTCTCGTGACTGGCGGCGGCGGAACGGGACGCGCATGAGCCCGGTGCCATCGGCGCCGTGAGACAAATATTAGACGCTCGTGGAAACAGCGTGACGACACCAGCGCAGATACAAGCATGCTCGCTCTACATTAATTCGGCCGGTTATTGCTGAAGGAGTGGATGTGAATCATGAAAAGCATAATACTACATTCATGTCAGTGAAAGCTGGGAGCTGGGAATGCATTTTGAGCCCTGGTGGAGCCCATCTGTAGAGTTTTTTCCGTACCCACAACCCATAGTTGTTTCAAAAGTTCATACGCTAAACATTTCCATAGTTATGATCAAATTTGTATTTGAGTTGTCTGTCTTTCAGCAATATCATTTTAAAGTAAAAAAAAAAAACAATATTTTATCATTAAAATATCTCCGAATGTATGTATCATTACTTTTCAAACATAGTCAATAATATACCCGATTGGTTCAAATATATGATGAGTTTGTATGGATATCGAAGGGAGAGTCAGCAATACATCCATCTCCACCCGCTCAACGTGCAGTATGGAACAAATACTGCTCATAACAATGACTTATTAACCCACCGTCACTCCTAAAACCAGTGGAGAAGCACACCACCCTCCAAAAAATACCACCATTGCACATCACAAGCGCTGTCAAACTGCAATTATGAACAGTGAACCAGATGCATTGCAGCCTAACCAAAACACTTGTCTTGAAACACACAATGACACCCGGCGGTGTTTAAGGACCGGTCCTCAATGGTCAACAATCAGCCGCTCCCCGTGTGTGGCACCCACCGTCGGCCGTCCGCCACTGTTCCGCGGTCCGCCGTCCGCCTCCGTCACCGCGTGGCCAGCAGCAGCACGTTCTCCGGCGAGACGGCCGGCGGCACGTAACGCACCAGGCGCGCACAGAAGCCGCGGCTCTCCAGGTAGCGGCGACGGCCCTCGTCCAGCAGACGCTTGCACTGGAAGCCGACGGCAGTGCGCCGCTCCGGACTGAGACCGAGCCGCTGGTACCGGCCGGCGCTGGAACAGAGAAACACCGGCGTCAGGGGAACAGAGGACCATACAGCGGGACTGAGACCGAGCCGCTGGTACCGGCCGGCGCTAGGACAGAGACACACCGGAGTCAGGGTATCAGGGGGCTAAGACCGAGCTGCGGCTGTTAAAGGCCGGCGCTGGGGCACAGACACACCGGCGTCGGGGGACCATCAGACTACAGACAGCTGCGAGTGGGGGCATTACCGGACTACACTGGTGTCAGGTTATCAACAGACCATGCACCGGTGTCAGGGACAATTAACGGCCCAGACACCGGTGTCAGGGTATCTGAGGACCTGACCGGCGTCCGAGAACCAATCGGACCACAGGCACGGCACCAAAAGACATATCAACCACCGGCATCGGGGACCGCTGAACCAAACATGGCGTCCAGAAACCATAGCTATGTTAGACACGGGTACCACGGAACCACGACCGTGCAAGGGCCGTCGGAGCATCAGCTTCACAACAGCTGCAGCGTGTTCTCTATTGTCAGTTGACGTAACAAGCTGGTGTTCGCGTCCTTTCTTTTATAAGATAAATGGCTGAATGAAAGATCCAGCCCCGGAAGCCTGATAAGCTCCGTGTGTCTGTGTTACCACTGACACCACTGAACCACTATCCGGCCGCACAGCCCGCGCCCGGTCCACCGGTAATACTTTGAACCCACGTTTTGCACATCGCACGTAGATGGCGACACAAAGCTGGGACTAGCACAGGCCTCCCTCATCACTTGCCAGCCGACCTGTATACCGAAGCGGGCTGAAGAGCGTGCTCCCTCCCCGCCTCGGATTCACTGCCACTGATAACCAGTGGGTCACCTTACACACCAGGCCACGAGCAGACAAAAGGGACGCGGATCAGTGGTGCAGCGGCGAGGATTAGTGCCGTGGCGGGACAGTGAACGAGGCTCGCCTGGCGAGACAGCGAATAAGACTCGCCTGGCGGGACAGTGGATGAGACTCGCCTGGCGGGACAGTGAATGAGGGGGACAGTGAATGAGGCTCACCTGACGGGACAGTGAATGAGGCTCACCTGGCGGGACAGTGAATAAGACTCACCTGACGGGACAGTGAATGAGGCTCACCTGGCGGGACAGTGAATGAGGCTCACCTGACGGGACAGTGAATGAGGCTCACCTGGCGTCCCGAGAGCCGGGCCCCGGCTGGTCGCCGGCCTCAGGTCCCGGTCCGTTGGCCGGCTCAGGCCCCGGCTGGACGGAGGGCCTCTCGCCGCCGTCCTCCGCTCCGGGCTGGTCGGTTGGCTGCGGCCCCGGCGGGTCGGTAGTACTCGGCTCTGTCTGGTCGGTAGGTGCCGATTCAGACTGGTCGGCGGCTGCCGATTCAGACTGGTCGGCGGGTGCCGATTCAGACTGGTCGCTGGACCCCTGTCCCGGCTGGCCGGCCGGCCCCGCCCCCGGCGCGGCGCCTTCCAGCCGCGGCCTCTTGTCGGCCGGCTCGGCGGGCTTGTAGCGCCGTTTGCGCGGCGCCTCGTGCTGTCCCCGGCGGTTGCTGGGTCGCTCGGGGTCCCAGCCAGGCGTGCCGCACGTGGCCCAGGCGGCCACGCCCTTCAGCGCGGCGAAATCGGCCGCCGAGAACCCACACACGTCCTGCGGCACAGGTTACTCTGCTCAGTAGCGGCCACAGGGAGTCGGCAGTTACACTGCAGTCAATGGCGGTTATCAATAAACATCAGCGAGATATGCTATAGCAACGTCAGTGGGGCTATGATGTGTGCGGTTAGTTCGACAGGAACATGTGCTGCGGCACCACCCGTCCCCTATGCCTCGCCGCAGACTTCCCTACGGGAACGGTCTGTCCACTGATATGTTCGCCGCAGACCCACCTGGAGGAACTGTTTGCCCACGTAGCTGGGCCAGTCGACCCGGTGGTGGCAGCACACGGCGATCATGATGCCGCGCACGTCGGCGGAGGTCGGCTCTCCCGACTCATCGGTCCGGTCCGCGGCCGGCGCTCCGCTCTGGTCCCCGGTCTGTGGTCCGGTCTGGTCCGCCGCGGGCCCGGTCTGGGTGCCGCCAGGGGCCGCTGCTCCGTCCTGCCCCAGGCCCGCCGGCGTCCGACGGAGGACGTCACTGGGAGTCACGGTGGCCGCCCGGATGCCCAGGTCTGAGAATGGAGACAGACAGGGGTGTTAGCGGCGGGCGGGGGAACCGAGGCGATTTGCTAGTCACGACACACGCTAACCAAATACCTACATACAGACACAATTCCAGTATACCCTGAGGTCACATCGGAAAACGTTCTGCCGCAGCACCCCTCGGTTTGTGAGGCGATGCAGTTGGTCCTGTCAAGTCCTCTGCACTGATCGCGCGGTATGTCAAACGCACCCACTCACCCGGGCCACCCACTAGTTAGCAGATACGCCCCCTTACAGCCACCCACCATTGGGCCCCCACCACCCACCGGTGATCCCCCCAGTCACCCACCGGTGGCGGCGCCGCAGAGGTGTTTGCCGATGGTGACCACGGGCCGGCCGCGGCACGCCTCGCAGCCGGCCAGGCTCAGGTGGCGGATATCCAGTTTGAGCCGCTGCACCTCGGGGGCGTCCGGAACGTCCTTCAGCTTATTCTCGGCCTTGTGCCGGTGGGAGGCAAAGTCGACCAGCACAATCTGGGAGCGGCTGCTGACGGCCCGCGCCAGCCAGAACGACAGCTGGGCTGCCAACGACATAGCGACACCGGTGATCACCAAGTTACAGAGCAGTGACTGTGGCTCAAACACATTCATAGCGACGCCATGACATATTGCAGTTGCTGTTGAAAGTCGATGGTAAATTTGAGCCAGCGAGGCGGTCACGACAGGTGGAGTCCATCAGCTAGTGAGAACGATGCAGAGACGTTCGGACAGGGACGGTGGACACGCACCTTTTCCGGAGCCGAGGTCGACGAATGTGGCGTCCTGGCGCTGCAGCAGGCCGGCGTCCCGCAACACGGCCAACAGCGACGAGTTCTGGCGCAGGTGTTTGAGCGTGTCCGCGCCGAAGGCCGGGTTCAGCAGGCTCTCCGAGAGCGCCTCGTGCGCCGCCTCCTCGGCCACCTCCGGCGGCGAGACGTGCTCTGAACGGGCCACACGGCGGCGGTCACAGGCGGGCGCAAACGGTACAGGTCCCGGTTACATGGCACCATTCTCGGTTACACGGTACGGCACCTGTTACACGGAACGGGTCCTAGCTTCACGGAATGGGTCCTAGTTACACGGTACGGGCCCCAGTTACACAGTACGGCACCTGTTACACCGCGCGGGTCCCAGTCAGACAGTTCGGGTCTCAGTTAAACGTTACGTACCTACCCAGTCACGGCCACACTTAACGCTCGTTCAGCAGCAGCATAACACGCGCTTTACATCTACCAGGGATGCGCTCTCTTCCTCCGCCAGGGACCCGCGCCCGCCGTCTCCGATAGGGACCCGCGCCCGCCGTCTCCGCCAGGGACCCGCGCCCGCCGTCTCCGGTAGGGACCCGCGCCGCCGTCTCCGGCAGCTCACCGCTGTGGAGGGCGCTGATCTTGTCGAGCAGGTCGAGCAGCGCCCGGTCGGAGAGCTCGTGGATGGTCGGACCGCCCGGCCCGGCCGACCCGTCGCCGGCGTTGATGTCTCGCACGTAATACGGCGGCCGCTCCTTCTCGCGGGCGTTACACACCTTCAGATGCTTCTGGAGCTTCTTCAGGTAGCAGGTGCTGGGAAAGACACGTGGTGAATGTTACAATCATTTCTGTCAATGGCTGTTTACTTTGGAAACCAAAATGCTGCTCAAGTTTAAAATACTAGAATTGATTGTATATATTTTTGATTTCTTATCATCATAATCTGTCATGAACAATGCTAGCCAGGTGGAGCTATGCAAGCCCAGTGTTAGCCATGACTACATTTTTGTTATAAAAATGCATCTGAAGCCCATCCTCATGACAGCGGCTATAATTTTTAATGTAATCCACCAAATATGATGGATTCTATTTTACTGGTTGGATTATGGATTATGCTCAATATGATGGATTATGGCTTACTGACACTCATTACAACAAAGAACAATAAACAAAAAGTACTGATGCAACTAAAGCCTTAAGCTCAATTAAGCATGTGACCTTACTGTCGAGGGTCCAAGGGACACTTGATGCGGAGACGATCCTCTGGAACTTCTTTCTGAAATAAATCACATAGAATAACACCATCACCAAGTAATGAGTGGAACATGCTAATCATGGGCAAAAACAATTATTTACAACTAAAAAATACTAAAAAAAAAAAATGAAGCAAGACTTTGCATTGCAAAAAAAAAACCTAAAATATATTCTTAAGCACCTCCTGCTTCTACAGATTCACACTTATTGGAACCTGTTTTGCAAGAGATTATCATACAACAACGGAAATAAGCATCAATTGCCTATGTAAGATAATTAAACTGAAAAATAAAACTGACCTGTGATAAATACTCAGTGTCAAGCACTATATGTTCACCACAAAAGACTTCTCCATCCAAGGCCAGCATGCGACATGGACGGTTTTTAATGGGAACAACAAACTTGCATTTTCTCCTAATAGTGCTCAGGTCTTTTGGCACTTCAGCTTCCCCTTCTTGCACCATCGTCATATAGAGGTTGTGAAGCAAATGAGAATCAGTCTGAAAAGGAAATATGAATTGTTCTTTAGTAATATTCACTACACTGACATGGAAAGCTAAAATGCAATACACAATTCACATTAGAGTAGTCAGAGACAAAATGGCTTTTCGTTATAGTGTCAATGCATGCATACAAGCTGATACCCTTGCGTGTTTAGCCGACCAAAGACTCCTAAAAAAGTGCATTGGGTCAGAAACGCATTAATTCTAATTTTAGTGATATGTATGCACTAAGCACGAGGTGAGTTTGGCTATTATTATTATTATTATTATTATTTGTATAACGCACGTGTCAAGTGTTGCATGAGAAAGCTGTTCAGTAGTGTCTTCCTTTGGCTCTGCAGTCTCCTGCTTGTATATGATTCGATGAATTATGATGACTGCTGCTCGCGTTGACAGAAACCGGCGAATGTCTTATTATGAACATAAATAGTTTTGTCAATCAAACGTCAATATTTATATTGTCTCAAGGTTACTAATTTTCCTTTAATTCTGCTATATTTGCAGTAATTTTTTTCTAACCTTTGCTGTGAAATATAAATGAAATTGCTTTTTACAACAATTTTTACAAATTGCTTTACAACAATGCTTTGTAAAAATGATTCATGTCGAATGTGATATTTTTTTTACTTCTACATACATGACGATATTTGGCGCAGCACATTCTGACGCAGAAAAAAGTTTTTTATTGTTGCTTGCGATTGTTGCGACTGTTGCACTGGTTGCACCGGGCGTAGCAATATCGTTTATTATTATCAAATACCTACTTAATTGTCCTATACAGTTGCCTGGTACGTTATATTTGTTACGTTTTATTAAAGCTCTATTTGGGCTCTGCTGACTGGCTAGAAACTCCGGTACAACCTGTAACGTTTGATTGGCTACCGAGATAAAGCGTCGTACCTATATAAAGATTGCGCGATATTTTATGAAATATCCTCCGTTCCATCGCTTCCATCCTCAGAACACAGAAATCCTTCTCCTCCACGCCGCAACCCCCACTCCTGACTCCGGGCTAGACAGGCACCTTTATCTCATGCAGGCTGCTCCCTTGGAGCGGCCTGCGGCACTGCTGCTCCCGAGGGAGCGCAACCCGTAGTCGGGTGCAGAGGGTGCTTGGGGGGCTGGTCGGCCTGTCCTTTCGGACGGGCTCAGCTCCGGCGACTCTCTAGGTCTAGGGTGTCTGCCCAGACCAATGTCTCCCCCTAATTCCTATCATCCTTCCGGCCCTGAAATGGTCTTGTCAGACTGAAAGGGCCTAACCCAACAAAACAAACAAACAAATTATGAAATATTTTTGGTTTCAGTTCATGTTGCATTGCTTCATCGGTCCTTCATTTTTTTTTCAAGAGTTCACTGCTATGACAACAATATTGAGGCTGCACTGGCCACTGTTCTATAGTGATAGGCCTTTATGTTAGTGGATCTTTGATGCAACGGCAAACGAAGAACATCCCCGTGGCCCTGCTCTGAGGATTTTGATTCTCTCCAGCACTGGAAAATTAGCAGCTAGAATTTTCTATTCTTGTGATACTGAATGTGATGCAGGATAATTATTGGTGATCCCAGAAAATCATCCCTCATTTAGAAATGCCAAACACACTAGGTACGGTTGGACGTTGTCACTTTGGTTGGCTGTGATAGATCTGAACTTCCATTTAAACACCATTTTTATCAGCATGTTACTTTGTGTCTTGCATTTGGGGTCGATATCACCCAAAACTGTTAGTTTTTCATGCACGTATATGATTAACTCCAAAGTGTTTTTTTCATAAATATTGGTGTAATACTAAGCTGGATTTGTTTTCAATAAAAGAAAATAGTATAAATGAGTAAAGTGAAACAATGAAAAATTTTTATGGCTAGTAAAATAATTTTCATCATATTGATGCTGTTCACCAATTAAAGACCAATCAAACATCTAAAAGTAGGGGCATGTTTGTAGATCAAGACCAAGTATGGTTGGTAAGTTAGCAGATTGTAGGTTGTAGGTTGGGTAGGTAGTCATAAAGTAGGCATCAGCTGTCACATTTGTTTTGTTTTTTGCAACCAAGGAAAGGCGCTATACCCAGAGATGCTTTCTCATCAAACCAAACCAAACTAAGCCAAACCTGATCAAACTTACCTACAACCTACAGCCAAAAACCTACAACCTACAACCTAACCTACATTGCCTCTCCTTGGTTGCAAAAGACAAATGTGATGCCTGCTTTACTAGGTACTACTGAAGCCTGAAGGTTTTAGGTTTGTAGGTGGTAGGTTCAGGGTTGTGGTTCATTAGGTAAGGTTAGGTTAGGCTAGATTATGTTTTTATCTTCACCAAACTTCATCTACACATTTACCCAAGAAGGTAGCTTCAGTAACTGTATGGCTATGGCATATTAAGTAACTGGTTGGTTCTGCTGGTCATCTTCTCTTGATGACCACTTGGTATCACATTATGATCTCTAGATAATATAACTAATATCAGTGTCAACCTTGTTGAGAGCCATTGCTGACACCATCGGCCTTTTGTCCTGATTATACCCTGCGTGCATTGTGCTGATAATTTGCAGCATGAAATCTTTGATCCACTTTTGGAGATAGCATTGCCCGGGCTATACCTATATGATAAAGCTGTTTAAGATCAATTGCTAGGTTCAGAAACGAAGCTTATATTGTTGGAAGGAAAGTATCCATCAATATGTCATGTTTTATGGAAGCAAACCTAATTGAAAATCGATAATATCACTAATAAACACCATACAGAGAGATGTATCACAGCAGGCAGATGTCTCTCCAAGAACCAAGGAGCTGCTGCCCCATATGCTGGAAAAATGAAACATGGTTTAGGCACTCCCAATGATTTTTGTCAATGCCTTCTAAGCACTTATAATTTTAAAATTAATTTCACATCCATTTCTTGAGAAGCTTTGTTTTTGAAGAGACCTAGTCTCTAGTGTACTGTACTTCACTGTCTATTGATTGTCATACAGTATGCAATGCCGATTGCGCCGGTCTGTTTGCTAAGCGTGCCCCGTCGGCCGGCGGTCCGGCAGGCAGCCATGTCGGACAGTGAGGACGCCGACGATCTGTCCGGCTCGGAGGCGTCCGGGCCCAGCTACAAGCGGCCGGCCGCCGACGATGAGGCCGAGGAGGCGCCGCCCGGCGAGGAGGAGCCCTCCGGAGACTCGGAGCCGGAGGGCGAGGACATTGACAAGAGCGTGAGTGGGCCGGCGGCGGCGGCGGCACCGGTCGGCCGGGGCACAGGGGCGGCCACGGGGTCCGGCTCACAGCTCACACACGGGTGCAGGCGAGGGTGTCGGTAAACTCTGTCGTTAAACTGGTGTTTAACGACCGGGGTGTCGATAAACTCTGGTAGGAGATGCAGCGACAGCTGATAATGTGTTTCCGTCGTTTGCACAAACTGCGGATCAATTCCAGATTCGGGCATTTTCATAATGATGTCGTCACATACATGACACATTTTCATGGTACTCGCAAGCTATTTATGTAAGCTGGCAGAGTTGCCTATTGTTTATTCAATGCATGTCGCAGTTCGTACTACCCATTACTTCACCTTATGAATAGTTCCATTGGTGTATGGCGGGTGCTCAGTTGGGCTGACAGCCGGTAGTCCACTGCTGACCGGGGCCTGCCTCCCCCAGGACTATGAGGCGGGTGCTCAGTTGGGCTGACAGCGGGTAGTCCATTGCTGACCGGCGCCTGCCTCCCCAGGACTATGAGGCGGGTGCTCCGTTGGGCTGACAGCGGGTAGTCCACTGCTGACCTCCCCCCTCCCCTCCCCAGGACTATGACAGCGAGGAGGACGAAGATGACGACCGCCGCTCGGGTAAGAAGCGCAAGAAGAAGAAGGACCGGTTCGGAGGGTTCATCCTGGAGGAGGCCGAGGAAGACGGCGAGGCGGACGAGGACGAGGAGTGGGACACTGAGATGGACAACTACGACATCATGGCCAACGAGGAGGGCGAGGTGGGGCCCACCGCCCAGGAGATCGAGCAGCGCCGCCGGCGCACCCAGATGATGTGGGACACACAGAACGAGGACGAAATCGAGGAGTACTACCGGCGAAAGTACGCCGAGGAGGGCGCCGGCTCGCGCCACTTTGGCGATGGCGGCGAGGAGATGTCGGACGAGATCACCCAGCAGACGCTGCTGCCCGGCGTCAAGTGAGTACCGACGACGGCTCGCATTCTGACGCTGTTCATCATGCTGACAACGATAAAACAGACAACATACTGAGCTCGTTGTCTGTTTGATCTGATTCCGCTCGTTAGGTGTATTGAGACTGACCGTTTGGTGCACTGAGTGCTGACCCTGTGCGTTTGGTGTGCTGACGCCGGCCATTTGGGCTGCACTGACGCTGTGTGTTTGGTGCGCTGACGCCGGCCGTTAGGGCTGTACTGAGACTCACCCTGTGTGTTTGTTGCGCTGGCGCCGGTCGTTTGTGCTGCACTGACCCTGTGTTTTGTGCGTTGACGCCGGTCGTTTGGGCTGTACTGACGCTGTGTGTTTGATGTGCTGGCGCCGGCCGTTGTGCTGTACTGACGCTGTGTGTTTTGTGCGCTGACGCCGGTCGTTGTGCTGTACTGACGCTACTATGTTTGGTACGCTGGCGCCGTTCGTTGTGCTGTACCGTCTCGGCCGCTGTCTGACCTCCGCCGCCCGCCACCAGGGACCCGAACCTGTGGATGGTCAAGTGCCGGATCGGCGAGGAGCGCGCCACCGTCCTCAAGCTGATGGCCAAGTTCATCACGCTCTCCAACAAGGACGAGCCGCTGCAGATCAAGTCGGTGGTGGCGCCCGAGGGCGTCAAGGGCTACATCTACATCGAGGCCTACAAGCAGACCCACGTCAAGCAGGCCATCGAGGGCATCGGCAACCTCCGCATGGGACTGTACCAGCAGCAGGTCCGTACACACGACGCTCGTATGGGGGGCTTATCTAACGAGCAGGCCAGCAACCAATGTTTTGATTAGCCGCACGAGGCATGTGCCTCCTTCTTTTAGAGTTCGCGTTACCTTTTTTCAAAAGTCAGTACCGGTGAGCGCTACAGTAATTACCTACCTGGTGTTAGATGATATCATGTCAGCACAGCGCTCGACTTTACCTGACCATTGATGGTACCGTGTCTTCCGGGCCTGAACAGGAGCTGACTTTCACTCTCCCCCGTCTGCAAATGCCGCCATCAAGGGAAGTAGGCTGACCCGGTCTCTGACCTTAATGACCTCAGTGACCTGACTGCCCCGGTCTCTGACCTCAGTG